TCAGGTTGCGAGTCGAGCGCCTTATCCACCTGGCCATGCCGGGCCTCTACTGACTGATTGACAGACAACACACTACCGTATGGTGGTGCGAGTGTTTAAAACTGTGTATATAAATCAAAAGATGTACTAAGAAAATGGACAAAAGACCAATAAAGAATAGTTTTAAGAAGCTGCACATACATTTTATTGTTGTCATAGTAACTAAAACTTCTTTTGAAAACCAAAAGTATGAAAATATAGTTAGTTTCGATCTTGAGTGTGGCAACAGTTTCCACGTCATTATTTTAATGATATAAATACATTATTTGTTTCAGAATTTCACACAAAGCTACACAAGGGCTACCGGTGCTTGGCTGTCCCTAATTTTCACTTGAGAGACTAGAGGGAATGCAGCTTGCCAACAGCACCTATAGCCAACTCTTGGGGTATTCTTGTCTGACCAACCAGAGGTAATTTGACCATCTGTCTTATAGTGTAGCCACGGCCCAAATAAACTGTGGAGCGACTTTTTGTGAAAACGAGTTACGAACCATAAACCAATCGATTCAAAGACTGAGAAAACTAACAATTTACCTGCCCCTAGCCCTTAATGATATATAAGTAAAAAGTTTATTCATCTTTTATATGATTATTTGTAGTGTTATCATCAAAGTGAGAAAATTATTTGCTAGTGATTGATTACAGGGTTTATATCCCCAATATCTTGTTTTTAAAATACTCGAACATATATGATCCGGCGAAAATAAATACTGAAACAAAATTCCAAAATTTCGCCAGAATCTAAAAACAAAATCTCGTATAAACTATTCAGCTGGAATTACCAAACTTACTTATAGGTATTTCCATTCTTAGATGGATATTTTTAGTTTTATAAATACTTAAAAGTTACCACGTTTTATATCTTAATGTTTTATTCGGAATTTCATAAATATTTTAATACTAACTTCTCGTTTGAACAGACTAGTGGTAGCTAGACTTGTTGGGGCATCTCCTTTGACGATCGTGTCCAGTTTCAATGCCTGAAATATATGTATAAATAAAAACTATTAAAAAGAAAAAAAAACCATTCAATTATTTTCGTAAATAAAATGCTATTTTTTCACCAGAAATGGTATAAAATCAATTCAAAATACTGAAATAGAATTTTATGTATGTGTATCGTGTTTAAAACTTGCAAGAAAAAAAGTCAAATATTAATATTAATACCAATTCCAGGAAACTTGTACACTAAGAGACACGTATAAATATATACAGGGTGTCCGAAAAATCTGAAACCGTAGACAGTTTAACGAATTTTACATTGTGTACTCCACACGCTGTCCTTGCGATTCGAAACAAGTTTGGATTAACAGCAGGATTAACTCGACCTTCTCATGGTTTGACGGCGCCATAATCAGTCACGTGTCTGAAATTAAGAAAAGCTGCAAATCACTTATGGTTCCAGACTTTTCACACACCCCCCCCTTCAGTGGTACAGCGGTATGTCTGCGGACTTACAACGCTAGAATCCGGGTTTCGATACCCGTGGTGGGCAGAGCACAACTAGCCCATTGTGTAGCTTTGTGCTTAATAAGAAACAAACAAACAATCCAGACTTTTCGGACACCCTGGATATATAAATATATATATATATATGACGTAATTACCGCTCATGAAATAGTTATGAATAGTACGGTTTAATACTGTAGCAATCATTCATCTTTGGTTCACTTTGAGAATTTTTAACAGCGCTATATCCATTGTCCACAGTGGCACAGCGATATGTCTGCGGACTTGTAACACTAGAAGCCGGTTTTCGATACCCGTGGTAAGAAGATCATAGATTCTGCTCTGTGTAGCTTTTTGCTTAAACTACAAACAAACAAACTATTTCTGTCTATCTAAAGATAGAAGGAAAAAGCGGATATGTCGAATCTACTAGAACTTAAAACGATTTATGAAATCTTAATTTTTCTTTACTTAATTTCTCGCAAAGCTACTCGAGGGCTACTATCTTTGCTAACCGTCCCTAATTTTGAAGTAACAGATTAGGGGAAATACATCTAGTATCAACTTAGCTGTCTCTCAATACAACACTGATCAAGTGATCAAAATGGTCTAAAACAAACCAACTTAAATCAAACTTATTTCATAAATTTTTCACCGAAGAATGAAAAAACACACGATATGTTTCAACTTCTTTTGAGGTCTGGGGCAAATTTATCTTTATTTTTTTTATTTAATTTGCTTTTGAAGTATAAACATTTAAATATATACATTTTAGTGACATTATTTAACCAATTGATCATGTTTGATTCAATACAATGGACCACGTGCTAGTGCCTGTGTTTTTTTTGTACTAATTATCACCAACAAGAAGAGCTAGTTGAGGTACATCAGGTAATACCTTGAACAGGTACGCCATTTTAAAATACATATCATCACAAATGAATGAATGAATGATACATAAGATCATATCATATTGTATGAAAAATATGCATGAACAAGTGAAAAAAATTATTTAAAAAAGAATTGAAAGTGTAGGAATGGGTGCATCAAAAAGTTAGGAAACGAGGTAGGAATGGGCATGGTATAATAAAACTTCCTCTGTATAACCTCACAAGAAGGCGTATCCAACATCCGGTCCATGAAGATGACATGATCTTATGTATCATTCACTCATTTGTTACACAGCTAGAAGCGGTCAACAATATCAGCCAGTGAGTGAAATTGAGAAATTTTTGGAGTTGTGATTTTTTTTCTATCTGTTCTGCTGACTTTCTCAAGTGGTTCTGTGACTTGTAATTTTGTATGTGGTTTGTTTATCACCTAAGGGTGTCTCTCAAATACTTTTGAAGATTTGTTATTGGTTGTTAAAGGTGTATACGAGTAAATAGTTTGTATTGCATGTATTGTGTATCTGCTCCATTACTACTATAAGTACTTACGTACTAATGATATTTTGGAATATGAAGCTCAAATTTTCACCTCGAAAAAGAGATTACGTTCATACAGAGAATTATGTGAATGGATATAAAAAAGGCAGCGTAAAATAATAAATACTGCTTTCTACCGCCTATTTCTGCATAACACGTAATAGGAGACCATAAACCAGTATTTACCTGACCTATCCGAACAAACTCCACCTGGCGGGCTTCTTCTTTTCTCCGTGAACCACGAGGTGCTTCTGGAAGTACGTCACTGAAAGCTCGTCTGTTCAACATTGTCTGCAAAAGAAATGGCTCGGGTAATTAGGAATTGTTAGCTTTAGAAGTTCGCGGGTTAGTCTAAATAGACTACTCGCATCTTCACTGTTTCAATGAATTATTTATAATTTAAAACATGGTTTGATTCCTAAGATATTGATCTTATCAATAAATGAGCAGTGGTGTCTTGCAAAATTTTAAAGTGGCGGAACCCTGCCAACATTAGTCAAGTATGTGACGTCACCGTCAGAGAAAAGATCTCAAATTGAAAACCTAATTTCATTTTTGTGAGTCCATTTTACATAAATATATATATATGTATCTGCAGCATTAGCTATTTGTGATTCTATACATTAGTAATAAATTGAATACGCATATGTTACCTAGAG